GTGTTACGTTAATGCACACATACTTAATAAAGGGCTGTTATTTTTCCTTTTTTCCCTTTTCCATAATTTGCTTTCCTTCAATCGGGGCCTCTTAATTTCGAATCTATAATTGCTAGAAAAGAAGGTTTGGGTCTTTTTCTCCTAATCCATCCTCAGCAAAAGACCCTTGTCTCAATTAAACTGAGACAGATACGGTGCTCAGGAGGGTGATCTTCAGGCAGGAGGAGGCCTTTTTTGTTCATTTGGGGTCCTGTGCCACGCCAGGGCACGTCTGATTTCCTTTGTCAGAGGGAGTTTGGGTTCCTGTGCAGAGCAAGAGAGCTCCAGCTGCCCTACCCATGTGATCCCACTACATGTGTCTCCATCTAAGAGCTTCCTGTTTTCTCAAGTCTACAATCAGATATTACAATCCTCTCCAAAATAAGGCATTAACAGAAAGCCAGACTTCTTGTCACCAACGTTTAGACTTGCTCTTTTCTGTGTGCTGCTATCCTTTAATTAAGCATGCCCTCTTTCTGCAGTATCATGCACACATTCTGTCTCCTCATCTGTGTGTTTGTGTACATAAGTCTGTGTATACATATTTATATGTAAGTAGAGGTCATGGACTGGTGCTCATTTTGGGCCATTCCTCCTCACGGGGTTTCTGTGAAATACTTGGATTTATGCCATAGTACGGTTAATCTGAAATGCACATTTCAGATACAGAGGCATTTTTCTCTCCAAAAGCAGAAATGTCTTGATGTGCTTTATTTTGTAGCAAAAGAGTGAGAGGGAGAAAGTTTGGGTTTGTTTCAGTTGATATTACAAAATGAATGCAGAACAGAGTCTAAATTCAGTAGATTTAAAATTTTCATGGTGAATGTTCTGCACAACTCCATTGTCATAACAATAAATATACAACCACCAGATTTGCACATATATTGACCATTACTATAAATAATCAGTAGCATATGTATAATTTAAAAGGAACTATTATGACTCTGTTGTTTACATGCCAAAATGTTTGAGTGCTGTGATGAGCTGATCCATCTTCAAGACACGTGTAGTGTTAGAATGGAAGGAGTTACTAAAAAGGATTTTTACTTATACAGAAATGCCTTTATTTATGTAAAAATAGGATGATGTAGGCACAGGTTGAGAGGGAAAAGGATGGGAGAGAGAGAGAGGGCCTTTCTTATTATAAGAGCTTCAGCAGATGGAAGGTATCCAGCACTGGCTGTGCGTGTGATCAGCGTGTTAAGAGCAGTGATGAGAAAATGGGGTGTATGACAGAAAGGAGGGTCAGCCACGGTGCTGAGGGGTAAGAGGCAAATTGCCTGGTAAGAAGGATTTTGAGAATCATATAGAAGCTCTGGAAAGATTAGCCAATGCAGGCAGGTGTCTCCAAGCCTCAAAATGTGTGCTTTTCTGATTACTGGTATTAGAGGGGGAAAAAAAAAAATGTTTACAAAGCAATAGGGAGGAGAATGAAGATTATATTTTGAAGGCCAGGGAAGCATTGTGCTAGACTTAGGAATTGGGCAGAAAAAGTAAACAGATAAGAAAGAAGCATTAATATTGCTAGAACTGGGGCTTCTTGAACACATGCGAGATGAAATGAGGAGGGATTTACTCACAAGAGCTGAAAGATCTTCAGTCAAAAAGGATGCAGAGATTATTATGGATTTTTTATTATTATTTTTTTTGCATGCCTACAAAAGTGCATCTCTATTTCTGCTCATTGTTTTCAGATTCGGGGGCAGGGGAGCAGAGTGGGACATGTCTACAATTCTGTGTCCAAACGAGCTCTGTCAGGCATCTGCTGAAAGAAGAGGTCAGAGAGTCAGTTTTGAAACAACCTGTGGTTGTATCAGCTGCCTGAAATGAAGCTGGCCTGTCCCTGGAGAGGGAGGAGTTGTGGATAACAGAGTCTGGAGCCAAGCCCTCTGTGTTCTGCCCTGAACAACCTCAGTGTTAGGCCAGATCTGGTATAAATTTAATGAGTCCATTACCTTCCCTGTACCATGCAAGCAGCACGGGCATCCTTCTGTCCCCCCCCTTCCCAGCTACTCCCTAGGGCATTTTTTTAACTTGAAGGTCAATGGATTTTGCTTCTGGAGTCCTGCTGAGGTGTTCTCCTTTCTAAAACTCTAGGAAGGGAGAAATTCAGAAAGCTGAATTTAGACCCAGGTTTGTGTCTTTCTGTGCTCAGTAGCATTGCATGTGTTTTCATCCTTGCAGGTTACTCATGGTCGTCTTCAGCTGAAAGCACAGCAAAAATAATTGCTAAGGGAAGTGTGGTTCATTTTTCTTGTTCCTCATTAGTCCATATTCAGTGTCTCTTGAGGAGGTTGTAGTGATGTGCCACTGTTCTATAAGTTACTTTCTCACCCTTTCCGTTCCCTCTGCCTGTTTTAATTGAGCATAGCCCGTTGTCCATCTTACTGCAGCAACACTTCCTGTCATGTCAAATGTCAGAGGCAGTTTCTGCATGAAAAACTAGCAAATTCTCCCACTTAAGATGCTTCTTGGACCTTTCCCCAAAGGTTGTTGCCACTCTGCATACCTTGCAGGGCACTGATGGTTTTTCTGGGAGCCTTAGATGCGAATGGCTGACTATCAGCACAACCCTATTTATCCCTAGGTGCTTTCACAGCAGTCTCTGGGTTAAACAGCAGATGTGCTGTCCATTCTGCCTGGCAGTGTTTGGACAGACAGAACCAAACCAGGAGCAAGGAAGGTGGAAATGTGACCATGCTGGTCGTGTGTCGTGGTGAGAACCACGAAAGCGAGACGCAGCGTTTGACTTGGCTCACTTTTCAGCCCTGGCAGGCAGGTGTGGTGTGCAGGCAACACTCACTAAATCCTCCCTAGGGCAGCCTGTGGGGGTTGGATATCTTCAGCATTCTGCAATGTGAGTTGGCAAGGAGGGAAGTGTTTTGTGGGGATAGTGGAGAGGAGCCACTACTCCAGTGCAGGAGACAAATGGCCTGGACCAAAACATCTTGAGCTGTGCAGGGGAGGAGGGAGTGTTGAAAATTCATATGATTTCCCCACCTTGCTTCAGCTTTTCTTCCAGTCTTAAATCCTTCCCTTTCTGGCAAGTCTTTAAGACTTTTTCTCCACCTTCTGTTTCCTGCTCTTGCCAATGTATCTCATTCTTTTTCATCAGTCCCCTTTCCCTCCGCCTTTCCTGGCTGGGTTCCAGCAGTCCTTAATGCTCCACATTCTCCTCGAGCTGTGCCAGTGACTTATGAGCACAGTGCTGCTGTGGACACCAGACCTCTTAAGCACCTTAGCAACTCCCAGGAAAGCTCATAAATGTCTTTGACAATGGATGTTTGAAGTAAGAGGAAAAATTAGAGGTTTGAGGAGCTTCTTGCTTAAGAGGAGAGGCCTGGGTTAGATGAGAAGGAGAAAATCTATTACTCGGGGGAGAAAAATATATAAATGCCTTTTTAATAGCAAGGACAACTAACCAGGTGTCTTGCCTGTGACATGAAATGGTACTGTAAAGGAAATGTTTTAGTCTGAAGAGAAATTAGTATTTGCAGCCATGCTTTGATTTCATATGTCTTTAGAAGGTGACTCTTTTGGATGTC